CGGTCCACGATTCATGACAGTAGGTAAGTATGGGGATAATGATCGACTTAAATACCGAGAGCTTAGTCTTCAGAATCAGCTCTGCATTAGTCATGATGGATCGGACTACTTCAAGCAAAACGCCACTGACTACTCCAATTCGCCGGTCGACCTCTTCCTCCAATTTTCCATCACTACTAAATACAATTCCGAGGCATTATAACTTCTACGCCTGCTCCACTGACTCTCCGTTAATCTGAAGAGAGCAACGGGCAGGAGAACGAGAAAGCGCTTTCCGTTTCTTACGCATACTGATCACGTTCCAATCGACTGCCAACCTTTCCGGTGAGCACCGTAGATCAGTTTTAGAAAATGCCAATAGAACAGGGATCGTCTCCAAACAGCAATCTTCACCTTCTTCACATCTCCTACACCGATACACTCATTGCCTTGGCTGCTTCTGACTATTCTATCCATGTACAACAGAAACAGGAGAGGGGATATGGCGCAGCCTTAACGGAGACCAGTGCCAACGCTGAACGGTTTCGACTTAACGACATTTACTCTGACGCATCAGATTCTATCAATATACAGTGACTGCATGGCCTTTAGCTGCTGGCCATCTATCCCATATGCACGAAGGCATGGCGAGAGACTGTTGCGCGGGATCTGGTCATAGGCTTTTTCTATGTCAACATTGGCGAACTCCCACGATTTCTCATCAATCTGACATATATGGTCAGAGGTGCTTCGAGCAGGCGGGAAGGAACACTGCCCTTCTTGTACTTTGAAGACTAATTCCGAAGGACCTCCTTTCTAGCACCTTTGCGTAGACTTCACTTGGGAGGCTTAATAACGTAATGCCCCTATAACTAGAGCATTCCTTGTGGTCCCCAATCTTGAATACGGGTACAATAACTCCCGTTCTCAAGTCCTTTGGTGCCTTTCCCGCAATCGCAGTTTCACTGAAACGTTTAAGCCAGCATATGCCTTATTCGCCTAATACCGTGAGCATTTCAGGGCGGATTTCATCAATTCCAGCAGCCTTTTCATTTTTCAAGCTTTTTACAGCTTGTGTAATTTCATCTACAGAGATAGTAATATACGATCCCTGCTGCTCTACAGACGAGTCTTCATGAGGTTGCTCGTAGTGAAGGAGTTCCTCAAAATACGCTTTCCATCGCCGAAGAATGCCCTTATCCTTGTAACAGGGTGTCCAGACCCGTCCTTCAAAACGCTTAGACTGCCCTTCTTTTCACCTCGAAGACGCCGGATGGTCCGCCAGAATAACTTATTTGCGGTGCGGAAATTCGACTCCAACACTTCACCAAACTTCTCTCAGGAATCAGCTTTGGCTTCATGCCATTGCATTCCCTGCCGAATTGCGTGCCTCGACATATAGCACGCGAGCAGAAGGCGCTTTGATTTCAAGTCATTTCTTGAATGCTGCCTTCTTCTCTTTAACTGTCTGTTGTACCTATCGCGTTCTCCAGGAAGATTTCTTCTGACTCTAGGTGTGTGTCCACCGATGGTAATGTTTCCCATTTGATTCTCCCGTTGCTTCTGCCACCAGATCTTCCCATGATACTCCGATTTTTACGGCGCAGCGTGCCAACATGGTGATGATCGGTTGATAGCTCTGTGCCTCTCTTAATGCGAACATCTATTACGGAGCATCTTAAATCAGACGATACGATTATCACATCAGTTATCGACTTCTGTGCACAAGCTTTCCGATACTAGCTATACTGATGCATTCGTCGATGCTCGAAGAAGTTGCGCATAATGGACAGCCCGTAGTTTGCAAAAAACCGCAACAGCTTCATGCCGTCATTGTTGAGGTCGCTAAGGCCGTTTGTTCCAATCACACCGTTCCACTTTACGGCGTCTACTGCGACACGCGCATTAAAATGGCCCATGTGTATGAGGTCAGCTCGAGGCACTTCGGAGAGAGGACAGTGCAGTTCCTCAAGGAAGGTATCATATTCTCCCTCCAAACTGGGCGCATACAGCTGTACCAAGGTCAACGCTTTACTCTGTTGTATCTCCAGTTGGAAGATTACTATCCTTCCGCTGACAGGCTTCCAATCAATGGTTCTATCTGCGAGGTTGGCAGCAACAACGGCCTGACCGCGCGTCGTGATATGGATACCTGAGTAGAATAGCTTTCATCCGCAGAGGTTCAGAAGTCCAGAGCCTTGGCGTTTCGTTGACGAGAGTCCAACAATGTCGAGTTGGTACTTTATGGCCTCATCAACTAACTCTTGTTCTTTCCCTCTGAGTGAGGATATGTTCCAATTTCCGAGAGTAATCTCCCACTGGTGGTGTCGTTCTAGTGGATTCTTTTCTGAAGTGCTGTAATGGCATGCGCAGTCTGCCTCCTCCGTTTAGAACGGGTAGCGACTTCGCTGCTGACTGAAATCTTCGTCGTCGTTCCGTCGGTCTTCGTCAGCCGTTGCTGTTCTGCTACGCCCCCAGCTGGCGTAAGACAATGATCAGGTTCTGACTGCTGACTTTTCGCAGTCTGCCTCAGTCTCCCAACAGCCTGCGCGGCCCTTGGTAACCCGGGCGGTATAACTTTCAATGGCGTCAATACAATGAGTGGCAGGTGGCTAAATTTTACGCAGACTTTGCGACGGTCTCCAACCATCCCCTTTTCTCAACCGGTCTTGGAACCGTACACACCACAATAGTTTATTTAATGTACCCCTTACTTTGGTCATTATCCGTTCTTCTCGACTAAAATACTAAGGATGGTGGATTCTGGAGGGCGGAAAAAGAGAGTGGATGCAGCAATATTTCTTCCATGCTCCTCGATTATTGATCTATCGGCCCTCGCCGTTCCCAGTGTTGAACAAAGACAAAACTCGATATCAGATTTAAGTATTCGTTGTGCAACTTTCAGTGTTTAAAGTGATGTCGGAAACTTGTACCCAATATTAGCAGTATACACATGTTAAAAGTGGTTATACAGGTGATTAATCAGTGGGAGTTCGAAAGTGTTAACAGTATAACCAATGATGCATACCTGCTATGTAAACTTTGCAACTGTTTATCACATGTCCACTCTACATGAGCACAATACAATCTGATAACATACCGGCACGGCGCTCCTGATTTTCATCGTTGATTCTCGACGATCCATAAGGCATTAAAAGCACGACTACTTAATTCTTTTGGTCTGCAGTAAAACAATCACGTTTGCTATTACTTCGTTCTGATTCGGTTTGCCTGGTTACACGGACATATATGGTGCAATGTCATATTACTACGTTCTCGGTTGTTTGCACGCAGTCTGCTCACTTTTTCGTTGTAAAATGGATATTATTATGATTCTCTTCAAACTAAGCGAATTTGTAGTCTAAACAACACTACAAAACTGCAGATTAATTAACGAGAAATTCTCCTAAACAGAAGATCATCACGATAAATCCAACCTCGATCTTACGATTAGGGAGAGCGGATGACGAGCAGAACAGATCTAATCAAGACGTACAGAACTCACAGAATTCGTATACAATGCAAATATAAATAATTCTACGCACATACGGTTATCTATACGCGTATAATATTCAGTCTTACATATGCGCGCATAGGTAACAAATATTTTTCACTAAATCCATTTCGACCTAGTGCCCGTTTGTTGAAAGCGTCCTTTTTCTTGATCCATGGTTTGAGACAAGAAGCCTAATGTTAACATTTTCATGTACGACACGCTTCGTTACAGCGGGATCCGTAACATCATCTGTTATGCCAGATCATATACTAAACCATTAACATAAATATTTGTTTCAAACCATGGACCAACAAGAACGACGCCTAACAACAGATATTTATAGAAGTTAACACAGTTATTCAGATTCTATTTTTGGCTACTCTGCAGAAGCATAAAAGGAATACTAGCGGTATTGTTTCAAATAAATAATTCAATAAGAAGCAATTAGCACTGCAGGCGCTCAGACAGCTGTTCACGCATACAGTTGTCCCCACTTGATCCGTGTTATGCGGAACCCTCAGGCATTTATGAAGAACTGGATTCCAACCAGTAGAGATTCGTTCTATTTCGAAAGGTTTTCTCTTCACTTAACGGTGATGTTGCACATCTGTTCGGTATACATTATTCTCAACCAAGTGCCTTAAACTGCTGAAAAGTAAACCTCGAATAATTTCTAATACATGAAGCCCCGCACAGTTTAAACGGTCCCCCTGGAGAAGCAGTGTGCAGTGAAATTCACTTTATGAATTGAGCACTTGCTGTATCTATACTAATTATAAGTGCTGCAACGCAAAACTGATAAATGTTGGTTTACTATACACATAAAAGTCTAACTATACTTATTTTATGAATGTTCGTAACTGTGTGCATACAGTTGCATTAGGTGTATAGAACATCTACGTATATGCAACCATGAATACGTGCACAAGGAATAATTCTACGCTACGCTAATTTTTCTAAACACACACAATAATATTGAGAGGTTATGGTGAAAGTATTGACACAAGAAACGTAGCTCGAAATTTGTGCATTACTTCGTCACCGTTCTCCCTTCAGCAAACCGTAAATTCTGTTTTGCTGCCTGTAGTGCAACTAACGAGCATACTACCCATTCATCGGTTACTAAATACCTAATTCAACTTGCCGATTGATCATAATAACACTTAAGTAGAGAACCACGCACTACTTTATGAAACACCTGCTTCTTCAACACAAAACACTTTTTAAAAAAACCAGCACCAAGAATCAAATTAGACCAATTACGAACCTCTGCCAACTGACTGAATCCAAATCCACTACCACTCTCAATTCCTACGTCTTCATCGTCTGCAGGGGCTGATTTACGCAAGATCTCGTCTTGGGTGCCCTGTATTCGCCGTAAGGCCCGTAGGGACATCAGCTACACAACGTTTTGAACCTAAATAGCGTCTAATTAAGTGCAAATGGAAAATAGTCAAGTCAAGATGAGAGACTTCAAGAGCAAAAGAACACAATGATGCAAGAAAAAGTTTAAAAATAATGGTGAATTAAAGTTCATCTAAAAATAATCCTAACCTCCTCAAGAATATGTTTCCATCTAGCCGATTCACTACCCCCGACGTGTGACGATATCGTCGATCTACATACTACAGAATAAAAACATGACCTTCAGGTTTGTATCAAGACGTCATAACAGGCGACGAACATGCGCACCAAGGCGCAGTGAAATAATTTCTTCTTGCTTTGGCAAAATTGAACAAGACTTCATTCAGGGTAATGGAAGTGAAAATTTCCGTTCGTTTTTAACGTCGGCTAATAAAGATGAATTTTAAACGCCAAGCGCTTTCGATAGACTCGCCGATCAAGTAGTGTTGAGGCTGTGGTATACAATACTCATCTAATCCTGAAAGCAGCAAACTCGATTTTCACTTATTGAAGAAGGTAAATGTGTTCTATTGGCAGAAAACAAAGAAAAGCCTTAAAATATAGGCTAAGCCTTTCTAGCTGCTGCAAAGCAACTCTTATCAAAATTCCGTTATTCCAACTGTTTCCTACGAGCGGTATAAGTTAGTGTAGACCCATCTAAAAAATGCAAATCTGAAAAGCCTGCTACCGCTCAAGATGAAAATAATTTGTAGCGTAGATCAAATTGTTCTTAGTTTATTAAATACTAATAAGAGAATTGTAGGAAGGCTCTATGCCCTGTCTCAGTGAACGTGGTCGTCCAAACGCTTCCCTTGAAAATAGGTGTTGAGTAATTGTACCATTATTTCGAAAGGGCTGTGTGACCAAGTGTTCCTACAATCGTGGTATTACACTACTGTTGACTTACTCGAAACTGTTCTTTTAAATTATCCTAGAAAGACTGAAGCATGCGAAGGATAGAAGACATTGTAGAAGTCAATCAGGCTTACGGACAGAGCATTCTTCGACTACTCAAATTTTCAGTCTTCGTTAATTGATAGTGCCGATAGATGTTGCTGCAATGCTTTTGCTTTACTTTGACACAGTGTTTGAAGAAGAGAGAAAAGTAAAACAGTATTTTTAATTCAGTGACGTATAATCACGTTTAACATAGTAAGTATTATTATAGTAAATATATCACGGAAAACCTTATTTATCCATCGCCCGTCCCAAGCCCTGATGAGAAAGAAGGAGGGTTGGAGACTGTGGCAAGTCTCCGTAAAATTCAGCCACCCGCCACTCATGGTATTGACGCCTTCGAAAATTATACCGGCT